AAGAACTCTGTAGCTTGAGTACCAACAATAAAATGTACTTCAGAGAAGAACTCTGTAGCTTGATGGTACACATAAAATGTACTTCAGAGAAGAACTCTGTAGCTTGATGGTATACAATAAAATGTACTTCAGAGAAGAACTCTGTAGCTTGATGGTATACAATAAAATGTACTTCAGAGAAGAACTCTGTAGCTTGATGGTATACAATAAAATATACTTCAGGGAAGAACACTGTAGCTTGATGGTACACCATAAAATGTACTTCAGAGAAGAACTCTGTAGCTTGATGGTATACAATAAAATGTACTTCAGAGAAGAACTCTATAGCTTGATGGTATACAATAAAATGTACTTCAGAGAAGAACTCTATAGCTTGATGGTACACAATAAAATGTACTTCAGAGATGAACTCTGTAGCTTGATGGTACATAATAAAATGTACTTCAGAGAAGAACTCTGTAGCTTGATGGTATACAATAAAATGTACTTTTATTTATAAATAATAATTCCTGTAACCTATTATCATATAATCTTTACCATATAAAATAGTATAGAGTGATTAACTAAGATTACGTTGAAATATACCATTAACTAGCATGGTTTATGTGCACGGAGGTGGAAGACAATTGCCAGAATATTCCAAGTTTCTGATGAAACTAAGTTGAATGACGGCCACTGCCTGTTGTAGAAACACGTGTGTAGAGAACGATCCTCTACATGCGTTTCTACAACAGGCAGTGGCCGTCCATTTATATTAGTTTCATCATGAATACTCTGCCTAAACAATCTATCAAGGAATTCCAGGTTATTTATTACCCTGTATACACAAATAAATAAATAAACTAACACAACAAGAACAAGGAAAGAACACTGTTCTGCAATTATTAGAGCAATTTCTAAACTGGTGACATTACTTCCCAAACAATACATTTAGTTAACTTTGAAAGAGAAATTTACTACATTACACAGAAGAATATATACCTTGGAGTAACCTTGTGAGCTTGGAATCCCTGTACGGTATGTGAGAGCTCTTACCATCCACTAGAGCAGAAATCACGTTTCCCAAGGCTGAGAGTGACAAGTTAATTTTGATTGCTTCCTTCTGTCTCTCACCCTAAAAACCACAAATATTTCAAAAACATCTCAGAAGTCTCCAATCAAACAGCTATCTTTTACAAGTTTCATTGTTTTTCTGGAAACTTCCAAGCAATGACAGACAAAAACTCGTACTTAAAAGAAAGACACAGTTAGCTAAATATTATTTGTATCCAACTTGACTTCTTGTCACTCATTCAGAAGCTACAATAATTAATACACATCCATGCTTGCTAGATGTAATATAAAATCAGTTGAGCTGGGGAATAGACTTCATTCAATTATCTCATCTTCCTTCTACATGCAAAAATGAAGGTTTTACTTTTTCTTAGCTTTTGTTTGTTTTTTAATTAACTCTTTAAACACAAATCACTCAAATTTGTCACACAAGAGACAATTTTGTTAGCCCAGTATCTCAGTAAAACAGAATGAAGAGACGTACCATGGCACCAGTCTTGGCCTGTCTCTCACTACCTGCAAGATCCACAAGATTTAACTTTCCAACCCGTATGTGATTTTTGTCATCTGGTCCCACCTGCACAAAGAATAGAAACATTCAAGTATAACTGACTGGCATATTTTCAATGGCAAGAAACTGTCAAAACTTCTAAATGGACATGGTATTAAGTGTAGTTATTTAACAAACAAATAAAAAAAATTTGAAAATTCCATGAAAAGTATTTATGTTAATAGAACTAGGTAATAACATAACCTTCTTGTTATGGGTAGGTCAAAGTGTACATGTCATAATCTTTTAGAAAGTTACATTCAAAAGTTAATTAAACTAGTTTATTATTAAAGTATACAAATAAACTTGGCATCGAAACATAGTTGATAAATCAAATATTACGTAAGTCTTAAATTCTTAATTTTATATGGAAATATTGTTAAAAAATCCTCAATCTCCCCAAGTATGAGAATCATAACATTTGTTCTTTACGTTTTTCTCCCTTCTCTAATTCCTTTACCACCCCTCTCTGAAGTATGGAATTTAACATATACTACTAAGACAATATATATATAATTTCTTATTGAGTTTATGGAGCCATAAACTAGAAAATCAGACCCACTTGCCACACCCACCTGTCCCATCCTCTCTTTTACTGATTCCCAGTATTTCTCTCCGACATTTTAAATTATATCAGTGCTCCAGATAATATTTATCTGTAAGGAGTTATCACTCCCAGAATTCTGTCAGCGGGAGTAATTAAATTTTTTACAAAGTGCAGCAGTAAAAGCTTGTGATAAAAAGTAATTTAACTAATTATGAATTATTTTATTATTTCAAAAGGTGAAATTGGACAGAGGATTAATTTAGGAAATTAAATCACCAGATGTAATCATAATAAACACAAAGAATAATTTTTTATTTTTTTTTACACAAAACTGGATCATTCAGGAGTGCAACAATAGAACCTTTTGGCAGTTAGAGAGCACATATTTTTGTAGCTCTACTGTCTGAACTGTGCAGATTTTGTGCTGAACTGCAGAAACGTACAAGAATACGGCAATTAATTACTGTGCTACCGTTAAAGCAGCAGGAGCCATATTTGTTTTTCCACAGCAGTAAAACGACTTCTCAATATTTTTTAAGGCCGTATATGGTTGGGAATTACACCGGTACAATCCTTATCTGGAGCACTGCTATATTATGATAAAATTTTAATCTATCAAATGACATATTATATTACGTTCTTTTCTGTATTTCTCACAGTATTCAAGTCAAGAAGCTTAGAGAAATATTTTAAAGCTCTCATGCCATAATTAGAAAGCCAGTAAAATTGTGATTCTTACATGACATTGTGTGTTGTTATATTGTGTTCTTAGGTGCATTATTTAAGTAAATAAAAAAGTATTTAGTATACAAGTACCATCATTTTAAAAAGTAGGTTTAAATTTCATTGGCAAATGACAGTAAAAATTAAGAGGTCAAAGGATATTTCTTGTATATTTTTGTTTATATTGTTATAAAAGTAACTAAAATGTAAAAAATATAAACGTATTAGGTTAAGATAAGGTTATATTAGGTAAGATAATAACAGTAAAAATTCTTCATAAGTTATTCAATATGGTAACCTGAGCTCCCGAGTGGCGGGTTTATTAGTTCAATAAAACAATAACATTTAGTATAAACAGATGTATACTATTACAAGCTTTAAGTTATTTAAGATAAACAAATGTAGTAATTTTATGTTACAGTCTGCAGTCATTCTAGAAAGAAACAGAGGATAATTTAGATTTATTTCATATTTATTTAGGAGGTTTTAGAGGTTATGCAAATGAAATATGAAATGTTTCAGTGGAAGAAAATAATTTTAAATCTAAACATAAAAATCACTTTGCACTCTGAGTGGTCAACAGTCTCTAAACATAAAAAATCACTTTGCACTCTGAGTGGTCAACAGTCTCTAAACATAAAAATCACTTTGCACTCTGAGTGGTCAACAGTCTCATTCCATATATTTCAGTAAATATACTTAATTGAAAAACCTGATATCTTGTCTACAGAAGACTTGTAACATTTAGTAAAATCTTGCCAAATTTCATAAAGATACATTAAGTACTTTCAGAGTTATAGTACGTACACTATCATGGTGGTTACAAGGTCATGTAAAATACACGAGCCTGTGTCCACAGGGTTAAATGCAGGCGGATACGAATACTCAAATATTACAATATATTGATAGATTATTAGTAACATATAATACACACACACACTTGTAAGGTACTAATGATAGTATTTCCTCTACTTAAATTGACTTTTCTTATCAGTTAAAGATATCAATGAATAATTTCTGTCAAAGTGTTCTTACTTGTATGTTAGGAAGCAATAAATTCTTTAAAATAAAACTATAACTACAAACCCATAGCAATAAATAACAGCCATCTGATATGTCAGTACATACCTGACTATGTTCTATCGTAATGATAAAAATTGCATGTGACCGAGAACTATGTAAGTTCATGTTGGTTGCTCTGGAAAAAATAGAACAAAGTTTATATATAAATATATATTTTATTCTATGATTTATATCAGAAGAAAACACTAGATAAATACAAATGTATCAGTTAACTAAGTATAAAAACTTAATTTTAGTTACAACTAAAAATTTCCAAAAAATTATTTGTTGATCTCTTGAACAAAAAATTTAGTAGAAATTACTTATTTATCCTACAACTGTGTTTTAGTTGAAACAATATCCCATTGTTTTATCCTAGTAGAACTGTAAGTTTGTTGACTTACCCTACAACTCTGTTTTAGTTCAAACAATATCCCATTGTTTTATCCTAGTAGAACTGTAAGTTTGTTGACTTACCCTACAACTCTGTTTTAGTTCAAACAATATCCCATTGTTTTATCCTAGTAGAACAAATTTTGTTGACTTACCCTACAACTCTGTTTTAGTTCAAACTATATCCCATTGTTTTATCCTGGTAGAACTAAGTTTATTGACTCACCCTACAACTCTGTTTTAGTTCAAACAATATCCCATTGTTTTATCCTGGTAGAACTAAGTTTATTGACTCACCCTACAACTCTGTTTAGTTCAAACAATATCCCATTGTTTTATCCTAGTAGAACTAAGTCTTTGACTCACCCTACAACTCTGTTTTAGTTCAAACAATATCCCATTGTTTTATCCTGGTAGAACTGTAAGTTTCTTGACTTACCCTACAACTCTGTTTTAGTTCAAACAATATCCCATTGTTTTATCCTAGTAGAACTATAAATTTTTTGACTTACCCAACCGATCTGTTTTGGTTGCCTACTGTCATTACGTGTTCTATCTCCTTTATACTCTTACATACAAATGATGACAAATCCTTCAAAATAAAATGATAAAAATAATTACAACAATCTGAAATAGGTAAATCTAAGCACAACTTGCTGCTTGTAGTTACAACTATGATATTTCATCAAAAAATAACAAACAGTGAATATAGTCCCAATGTCACATAGCAGCATAACTCCCATTACTAATGAGTAAAAGTCTTGGCTTTATAAACACTTAAAATGATTAAATAGGTAATAAAATATAACACTAAATTCACTACTGAAAGTTTTCTATTTATAGACATTTATCAGGAGAAAAAACACATTTTTAGTAAAAGAATTTGATTTTTTAATTAAATGCATTAATGTGCTAGTTTAAATTTCAGGTGGGATTTCTGTAGATAAAAAACATTTAAAACTGCACAATGAAACATGTCAGTTAGCACTTACCTTCACGTAAACTCCAATATCTGGTCTTTCTTTTAGCTCTAATCTCTTGCTTTGGTCCTTTGCTAAAAGATCTCGAATTTCTTCCTGTAATTCATTACATTTCACTATATTAAAGAAATTACAATTTGGTTAATTTTTTCTTCAGTTTTATTTTGAAAACAACTTCATTTCTTACTTTATCTGATAATAAGAATTCATTTAATTTGTTGTTCTTGTTGATGCTGTAAGTTTTAGGTTTTGTATTCAAAATTTTACATAAAGCAACACAAGGGCTATCAGCACGAAGCCATTCATAATTCTGTACAGACAGAGCAGAGTAAAGTTAGCATGCTACTCAACTCTTGGGCTATTCTTGTCTGATTTAATAGCGGGACTTGACTATCACTCTTATAGTGCACCTACAGCTCCAAGGTGCAAAGCATACTTTTTCAGTAATGGGTCATGAATCATGCGTCCTCAGATTCACAGTTTGAGCAAGTTAAGACATGTTTGATCCACTTTAAACTTTAGGTCACTTCTTTATAACCCATGTGGTCAATTAAAGTATTTCCTTCCAGTAACCTTCTTGTTTACTCCCGTTTTCTTAGCACCTTATCTGAACTTAAAACAACAATGTCACAAAAGTAAAATGAAACAAAAACAGTTCAAAATAAAAACACGTCACTTAACTTTGACTGATATTTAATGAACAACACCAACATATTTCATTTACCTGTTTTCACGTGATTGCCCAATTATAATTGCAATTTTTTTTTAATTCCAATACAAACTCAGTTATTTAATTATAAGTATATGTTTCAATAAAAGTTTAACACAATGTGAAGAACCATACAAAATATGGACATAGGTATGCAAGGCAGCTAACTATATTTTCACTAGGAATTCCTAAAAATAGAAAAAACATTTTGAAAGAAACAAACATTAAAAACATTCACACGTTAGCTATTTTGTTTCAGAAATATTTAAGAAAGCCAGACGAGAACAAATAAGATATCAATACTCACACACTTAAAAAATCAAACTAGTTATATTTGTATAAAAATGAAGCTTAATATTTCTATGGTTGTTACAAAAGAGGCTATTTAGTAAATCATTAGGCTTAACATTTAGTTCATATTAAGCTGTTACCAAGGGGGCTTTTTAGTAAGTCATTAGGTTTAACATTCAGTTCACATTTTGTAGTACTTGTGAAGCTTCACATCTTCTGGATTGTTACCAAGGGGGCTTTTTAGTAAGTCATTAGGTTTAACATTCAGTTCACATTTTGTAGTACTTGTGAAGCTTCACATCTTCTAGATTGTTACCAAGGGGGCTTTTTAGTAAGTCATTAGGCTTAACATTTAGTTCACATTTTGTAGTACAATAGAACCTCGATTAACAGGCATCTCAAAATTAAGGGCAGACCTTTTCAGTCTCCTCCTTTTTGTTCCTATTATTTGTAACCAAAATAAATCTTGAAATAATAAGTTCCTCAATATTCCAGATTAGGGGTAGTGTCTTTAGTCTCGTTCTCTATTTGGGCACTTGACAAAGCTGGCAATTATCTTTGTATGCCTGTACAGTATACTACGAAATTCCAAACATCCTAGAAGGATGACCAATATTCAAACACTTGCAATGTTTATTCAATCAACTCCAAACCATATACTGTAATAAAAGTTTTCATAGATTCAAAGTGCAATCTTATTACTCTGAGGAATTCTTGTTGTAAACCCTGTAGGATACATAAGCTGATAAATACCACATCTTGTTCTTGGAGAAGTCAGCTTATTTCTGTGTGCATGCTTTGCTGCTCTTGAGAGTATCATATTACAGTGTCACATAAACAGTCTAATGACACAAGTGGTGATTTGTTGCTCTTGAGAGTATCATATTACAGTGTCACATATACAGTCTAATGACACAAGTGGTGATTTGTTGCTCTTCAGAGTATCATATTACAGTGTCACATATACAGTCTAATGACACAAGTGGTGATTTGTTGCTCTTCAGAGTATCATATTACAGTGTCACATATACAGTCTAATGACACAAGTGGTGATTTGTTGCTCTTCAGAGTATCATATTACAGGTGTCACATATACAGTCTAATGACACAAGTGGTGATTTGTTGCTCTTCAGAGTATCATATTACAGTGTCACATATAATCTATATTGAACATGGTTTATATGAAGATTATTATAATTTATATTGAACATATTTTTATATGAAGTAAAAACAATTTACTTAAAAAAAATGGAAGAAACCTTTAGTTTTGTAATGTTTGGAAAAAATAGCAAAATTTAATAATGTCACATTGAGGTTTTGAGACCAGTGATTTTTTATGTTATCTTATTCATCAGGTATTCGGAGTGAACCAGAGAAAAAAGGAGTTATTCCTAACTCCTTTGACCACATTTATAGTCATATAGCTCGATCCGAAAACCAGGAATATCTAGTCAGGGCTTCTTACCTAGAAATTTATCAGGTAGGAGCTGCTATCAATAAATCATTAGTTCGTTTGTTTACTAAGTTTCTGAATTTCTTTTTACTTAAAGTAACATTTGTTAAAAAACTCAATATTGACATACAGGAAAAAAAAATATTTTTACTCTTTAAACCCATAACGTTTTGCTGGAATGATTTTCAGGATGTCCTAATAATTATCACCATACCTTATAAAATTTGTGTTCTATTTATAAATGGTGGATAATATCATGGTTTAGATTAATTTTCAGCCAATGCTGTCACTGTCCAATGGGTAAATTAGGATTTTCAGCCAGATGTTCTTGCATCTGCTCGAGTTTAAGGAGTTAATTCTAGTGTGAAAGTCTTTTTCTACTTAAGAATTTCAATTGATTACTTTGCTGTTATCTACTACCACTTTAAAGTATTGTGGATGATAATTACAGATGATAATTAATAATCTTCATATAAAAACATGTTCAATATAAATTATAATAATCTTCATATGAAAACATGTTCAATATAGATTGTAATAATCTTTAATAAAAACATGTTCAATATAGATTATAATAATCTTCATATAAAAACATGTTCAATATAGATTATAATAATCTTCATATGAAAACATGTTCAATATAAATTATAATAATCTTTATATAAAAACATGTTCAACATAGATTATAATAATCTTTATATAAAAACATGTTCAACATAGATTATAATAATCTTTATATAAAACATGTTCAATATAGATTATAATAATCTTCATATAAAAACATGTTCAACATAGATTATAATAATCTTCATATAAAACCATGTTCAATATAAATTATAATAATCTTTATATAAAAACATGTTCAATATAGATTATAATAATCTTCATATAAAAACATTTTCAATATAAATTATAATAATCTTTTTCTTTGCACAATAAAAACAATTTGCCTAATTTTTTCATTAATTAAAGCCCTGTCTATCAGCACAGACAGGATTCAGTTATTTGTTCTCTGTTTTACCTTACATCCTAAACATTCTACAGTTGAAATATCTTACATTTATATTAAAGAAAAAAAACACCTTTAAACCAATCTATATAGAAACATAACTATAGAAATTTGAAGAGTGGCATGCTGTCCTGTTAAGTTATACTTCAACTGAAGTGAAATTCAGATCAGGCACGATTGCTAACCAGTCAAACACACAATATCTAGAATACTAAAAAGCTTATTTATGTGTTTTTTGAGTACTTTCTAACTCACCCTACAGTAACCTTAATTAATTTAGGTGGGTGAATGATATTACGCCTTATTTATTAATCAATATTATAGAGTGGACCAATTATTTAATGATTATATCACGGATTATAGTTTAAATTTTACCTTTGATGGGAAAAAAAAATCTGTGATAAAATCATTAAACAGTTGGTCTAATACTTAATTTTATAGATTATGAAAGATAACGAAGATATACAGCATTCAAAATGCAGTAGTTAAGTTGGTTAAACCATTTGACCAGTTAGCAGATTCACAAGTTTTAAATCCTGTTTCTTCTTGATTTTCACTTCCTCGGAAAACTTCTATACAATAATTACAAGAATTTACCTTTAAATTTTAAAATAAAAAAATACTTAATTTTTGATTAAAATTTCAAGTAAACTTCTATAGAGGAAATTAATCCTTTATCACAACTTTTAAAAAACTTTTTTCTCGACGTTAAAAAAGTTCAAGGATTTAGTCAAAAGAACATTTATCACACAGCTCAAAGGATTAGGATTAACACAACTCACCTTCCATTGTGTAAGTTTTTCCAGTTCCTGTTTGTCCATATGCAAATATAGTTCCATTGAAACCCTTTAAAACTGAATCAATCAAAGGGCGAAAGGTTTCATCATACAAATCCAACTGTTTAGAACTGTAAGTACACCGAACAAGGTCCATGTATCCAATATTTATAATTTAATAATATAATTATGGCAATTGTTGTTAACAATAAACTTTTACACATGTCCAGGAATAACAATAACTTGTTTAATTTCTCTGTATATACAATTTTGATGATACAATGCTTGTAACAATTCCTATATAATTTAACAATACTGTTGGCTGGTGTGTTAGGAAAAAATATTATTTAATTTATTCAGCATAGCTTAATTATCTGAAAACTAACTTCAAACTTCACTATTAATACTTTCTACGAACTGCAGAATTGAATATCAATGTTTAGATGATGTAAGAGTCATATTCATACATCTTATTAGTTTCAAAAGTTCAGTCACAGAAAATGATAATTAAATACTTCCAAATATAACCCTGAGAATAAGTACGTATTAACACGTCATATTACTGCAATTTTTATTGAGTGAAATCCTAAAGCAGTTAAATTAAAAAAAATAAAGAACTTTCTTATTTACTCTGCTTAAAATATTCCCCTAAATGGTTACGACTGTTACCATTGTTGTTAACGATAGATAAGAAAATATTTGAACATAATGTTTCTCCTCACTTCCAATCATACACTGCATCAAAAGTGAACTGTTTTGGTACTTCTCCATTCTTAGGGTTTTTTATTTCCACAACTCCTCGTTCTGGAAACATGTCTACCACCCTGTAAGGCAGTAAAAATTTATAATTTATATGTTAAGAAAAAACAACTTAATAGCTTATGTTAACAAGATTTAGATATGCCACTCACATATAAATTACAGCTGCTACACAATCACACATGGCAAAAATTTAACCTTTTTTGAAACAAAACATATTAATGAAAAATTGTTAAAGGCTATATGTGTTTAGTCATAATATATAATTAAACTCACTGCCATTTACTGTCTTCAAGAAACTAAAAGATGAATTTTCACACGAGTGTAGGTGATAAGTTAGCTCCATGGATTAAGGGTTAGTTCGGTGAGAAGAAGCAGAGAGGTGTAATAAATTGAGTTCAGTCTAACTAGACTGGAGTTTTTCCGTGCTCAAAATCTTACTTCTTTTTGATATACATTAAAAACAGACTAATTAAGTTTATTGATGATATTAAAGTTTTGGGTGTAGTTCATAGTTGTTTTACAAAGAACTTTAAATCATTTGGTGAGCTGGATAAATAAACTGTTCTAAGTGTTAGATGATTATCACCTTCATGGAAATCAACTCAACTGTGTTACAAAAGAAATGTTGTGTATTGGTCAATTAGTCTGTTAAGTCTTGAAACCAGTGTGATGTAGCCAGTGGGAAAAGCAAATACAATGACTTGTTGGAAAGGGGTTCAAAAAAGGGCTACTAGGATATTATTCCTGGGATGAAGAGGCCTTCACAAGGACAGATGAAGGTCCTTAAAATTATTCTCTCTTGAGAAGAGAATGGTTAAAGGGGATCTGATTGAAGTGTTATTAACTGAATAGATAGGATTGATACATCATCTTTATTTTATGCTTAACGGTAAGAGTCGTAGGACTAGGACACACAGGTTTAAGATCTTGCAGGTTAAGAATTGTCTGCAAAACATACAGTTTCACATCCACTACTGGCACTTGTGTTTAAAGTTTTTTCTTGGTTGAACTGCAATGAAATTAGAGAAGATAAAACATACGTATCACCTTACTGTAAAAAAACTTGCACATAAATGAAACACCAGCATGATTTATCATAGAATGCATAATAAAGCTCAAATACTGACTGCTATTTGGTCCAGGGCAACCTAACTTTAATAACTAAAGGTCATGAAATTATATCTATAGCCATGTTTACATGATGAAAAATGTTTATCTTGGCAAAATTGCAAGATACCATAAAGTATTTGAATGCAACTCTTGAAAGACAGGATGTTAATTCTTTGGCAGATACAAAAAAAACAACAAACGAGTGTGACCACAGCTTTCTTCAGCTGGTTGATCCAAAAGTCATCTAATCTCTTGACACACATTACAACTACAATGGAACTAACCATCCTCAACAGCAGAAGGTTCTAAATACCAACAAGGTTTGTAAGTGTACATGTACAGATATCAAGTATATTATGATATTTAAGCAATTTCACTCTTGCAAATGTTACCAAACTCAAACTAAACAAGCCTTTCTTTCATCACTCGTATGTCACATACATGGCATGCTGGTAAAAAATTCACTGAGATATGGTGAAATTTTAACCAGCGTGCCATGTGATGACAGAAAGGCTTGTTTATAAAGCAAAGTCTATAACGCAAATACACACTTTGCATCACAAATTTAATTAGTGATGAACCTTTAATCAAAATTAAGTTACATTATTCCAAAATGTCATCCACTAGACTGAGCAACAAACTTTACTATTTTGTGTACATGGAAATGTTGTGTGTATATATGCACATTTCATTTGATATATATACGTTTCCCAATTACAATACTTAGTCATCCCCTTACCTTTCATATCCTTCTGATGTTTCTTTCTCACTTAAAGGCCTACATCTCACGACTACTTTCACACATTCTGCACCTGATTTTGACTGAAAAAAATGGAGTATTAATTTATTGAAACAAACTTTATTATCTGTATTTCTTGTACATTAGTATTAAGTAGTTTAAAGATACACGTTTAAGATTTAGAAAAAAAACAGGCTGGGCTCCAGTTAAGGCAGTTTTATTTTTCTAAAAAGGGACTGGCTTATAGAAGATGTCATCAACATCAATGGAAGATGGCACTTTATAAGAGATTAAAAATGGAATCCATAATTTCCTGAAAAATAAAGGGTGGGTTTAAATTTTTACTTTTTAATCTCAAGAGTGGGCGTAAAGCCTTGAAGCACCAAACGGTCCCTTGCTGTCCACATGTTGCTATTGATGAATACGTATACTTTAATTCCTAATGTTGCTGGAGATAAAACATCAACCATTATAACATTTTGTACCATCAAACAAAGAAAGGTTTTATAATAATTAAGTACTCTCAAAGGGTTGGGTAGAATAAACTATGTACAAACAGAAACATTTTGTACCATCAAACAAAGAAAGGTTTTATAATAATTAAGTACTCTCAAAGGGTTGGGTAGAATAAACTATGTAATACAAAATGTTTCTGTTTGTGATTTGTCCTTCAAATCTTTATTTTTACATTCAATAATAATGTAAGAATAGTATATTTAATTAGCTATGCTCAATATTAGGTGTACATAGCTTGCTTTGATCAGAAGTTAAAGTTAATATATTGTGTACCAAGTTACAATTTGTTTTTACAAAGGTTACTTACTATAATTTAGTTTTTAAAATGCATAAGCACATAAAATTACCTTTGTTCATAGAAATACTGAATTTTAGACAACTACATACAGATAAATCAACAAATCCATAAATAAATACAAACCAACAATTCCACTCAAGTGATAATACAAAAAAAACATCATCTAGCTTTCTTGGTACTTTACCGTTATATAATTTTAATAACTTTTAAAAATACATAAATATAAAAACATATAATAATGCATTTTATTTATAAAGTAAATGTCTATAATAAATTTATAAAAATATATTAATAAGCATTGTATTCATATAGTAAAACTTACCATTTTAACAGAACAGTACTGCTTTGTTTGACAACCATACATTTTAACAGAACAGTACTGCTTTCTTTGACAACAATACATTTTAACAGAACAGTACTACTTTCTTTAACAACCATACATTTTAACAGAACAGTACTGCTTTGTTTGACAACCATACATTTTAACAGAACAGTACTACTTTCTTTAACAACCATACATTTTAACAGAACTACTTTCTTTAACAACCATACATTTTAACAGAACAGTACTGCTTTGTTTGACAACCATACATTTTAACAGAACAGTACTGCTTTCCTTGACAACCATACATTTTAACAGAACAGTACTGCTTTCTTTGACAACCATACAT